AATCAATGAGAAATGCCATTCTGTTGTGAACAATTGCAAGGTGGTTTGGAGATTTGCCCATGTTATCTTGAGAATTTGGTTTCTGTTTCAAGAAATGAGCCAACCCAATGGAGAAAAACTGTAATGCAGCAGCAAATAACTTATAGATGTGATAGAACTATGATAGAACAATATTAACACAACACAGAGTCAAGATTTGGTTGCAAGAAAGTGGAAACTAGTGGACACATGAAAGATTCTTTGTTCGGGTAATGTTTATTAATTTGCTTAATGTAAAACATTCCGCAAAATTTACATGAATACATGTTGCAAATTATCCTTAGGGTATCCAATGGACAATAAGCAATTAGTGAGGCTTAGAATACATAAAGTATCACAAAAAAGCTCATAGAGTCAAACTTCAACAATGCATGACTAATTGATTTTCCTTTAGCTCCTCCTTCATCTCCACCTCACAATGTATTGCTTTCATTTTCCCAATGCAGAAGGGACATGCATGTGCTCACATACACATGTCAGGTATGCCTGTCCTTATGGGGACTGCTCATTCACCCATCCATCCATTATTGTAACCACTGAATCCCAACTGGGGTCACAATGGGCTGGGAGCCTATTCTGGGAACAATGGGAACCAACACACCACAGGGCACAGACACACACTCACAGGGCCAAATTAGACACACTAATCAGCCTACCCTGCATGCTTTTGGCCTGTGGGTGGAAACTGGAGCCCCTGGCAAAAACCCACATGAACACAGGGAGAGCATGCAAACTCCACACAGAAAGGACCCAGGATTCAACCCAGGACCTTTTTGTTGGGAGGCAGCAGTGCAAACCACTGACCACCATGCTGCCCCACTCATTCATTTCAATGGGAAAAATGCTAATGCTAACTATGACAACCGTAAGCCCCACCCTGCCCTAACCATAACCATAAGTAACCAAACAAAATACAAGAGTTTTTTGCATTTTTAGTTTTTTCATAGCAGTTACCAATTTTTATAAAATAGAGTTTTCCCATGTCTTTCCCATAACAGTTCAGTTGCCATGGAGAAGGCAAATTTGTATAAATAACAGTGTTCTAGAATGTTCTTCCGCAATTGTATCGAACAAAGTGTGACGGTCAAGGTACAACCAGGGCACACTGGCATGGATGTGCAGTATTTCTGATACGTGTATTCCAAATATGTATTTTAAATACATAATTATATACTGTAATTAATAAAAAAAAATAGCATGTAATTTGTATTAGAATATTTTGATGGTCAGTATTTTTGTATTTTGAAAATAAAAGAAATATTTTCCCCAAAATGTAGGCATGATGACATCCTGTGTGCAAAATGCTTGTGCAAACACAAGAAGGAAGCCTGGTGTTCACAACATTTTAATGAATGGTCATTAGAGCCAATAGCTGGTCAAAAGACTTACAGGCTCGATTCAGGCCTATTTGTATTAAAAGTTCTTTAAATATTTTATATATTGTTGTTTTGAGTTATTAGTCTGTGGTGCAAAAAGGAAGCAGTCTTGTCAAGTAAAATACAGAAAAAAACAAATCTTTCTGTTTATTATTATTACGTCATTCAACTGACCATTATCTGAGTATTCAAGTGAGTATCTGGGATATATATATAAGACACTGCAGAATATTTGATCTTTAGTTTGGGTCATATTTATATTGTGTCTCGTTAAGCAGTGAAAAAATGTTCTTACAGTATGCTTGGCCATTTGAGTCAGTGTGCTTGTGAAGGAACATGCTGATACAGAATCGAGGTATGTGAAATGCATTTTTGCATTTTTAAAATACAAAATACTATACTGTAATTGTAACGTATTTTGAAAAGGACCCGATACAACTTAACAATATGCCATCTTTATTATAATTGGTTACACCGCTACGGAAACCCGGTAGGGACAATATAAATTGCACTCTCACCATATTAATTACTGCAGCCAGTAGATGGCACTACATTACAGTGGTAGTTTTTTTTAAAACATTTTGCTTNTGTCATTAAATTAATGACCCTTTACTGACACTTAGTAAATGACAAATTTTAAGTGGAATCATAATTAAGTTTAATTACCACAAACATTCTAATGTTATATACGGTCTGCAGCTGCCCACTTTCTCTGCCTGACTGATCTAACTGTACTTCTCTGTCTTAAACTAAATATTCTCTGTTAATTAGTATGCATTAGCCTGGCATCCTGATCAGTATCTCAGTTCCGCTACTGTGCAATTCTACTATTTATATTTATCATTAGTATCTTGCTTTAGATTGTTCTATGTTTTGAGGCTGTTCACCAATATTTCTTTGATTAACCATTGTCTTGTTTTCTTATGACCATATAAGTGTAGTTTTTATGGAATTATTGAATAATTGACCAGTTTAAAAAATCACATTTTAAAACATCACATACATCATTTTTTTTTCTGATTTGCACTTTTGAAATCTATACAACAACAAATTTCAGTGTGAAAATGAGACTACAGTCATCCACTATGCCAGCACTGACCACAGGACATGGGCTGAACAGGAAACAGGAACCATCCGAGGGAGCTCACACACCGTTGAGTATGCAGAGGTCAACCTTAATACTCGATGATAAGAAGATGATCAGAACCCAGGATTCTAAAGGGACCCAGAAGAGAAAAACTGAACTTGAATTTATAAGACACTGCAGAATATTTGATCTTTAGTTTGGGTCAGGGGTGGTGTGGATCTAGGTTGGAGTCTCTGCCTGGGTTGCATGTGTGTGGAGTTTGCATGTTCTCCCCATGTCGTTGTGGGGTTTCCCCCCACAGTCCAAGAACATGCTGAGGCTAATTGGAATTACTAAATTGCCCATTGGTGTGAGTGTGCCCTGTGATGGGCTGCCCCCCCATCCTGGGTTGTTCCCTGCCTCGTGCCCATAGCTTCTGGTATAGGCTCCAGACCCCCCACAACCCAGAAGGACAAGTGGGTTGGAAGATGGATGGATAGTTTGGGTCATATTTATATTGTGTTTCGTTAAGCAGTGAAAACATGTTGTCCTTATGCTTGGCCATTTGGGTCAGTGTGCTTCTGAAGGAACAGGCTGATACTAGATCGAAGTATGTGAAATGTATTTTTGCATTTTTAAAATACAAATTACTATAATTGTAACATATTTTTAAAAGTACAGCTTAACAATCTGCCATCTTTATTATAGTTGGTTACACTGCTACGGAAACTCGGCAGGGACAATATAAATTGCACTCTCACCATATTAATTACTGCAGCCAGTAGATGGCACTACATTACAGTGGTAGTTTTTTTTAAAACATTTTGCTTGGTGGCTGTATTGTGAAGTTTATCTTAATACACCTATAAATAGAGTAGTATTTTGTATCATGATACATTTTGATGTATTTTTGCATACTTGTAACATCACTGCATACTGGTGACATCACTGTAACTAAGCAAGGGGTCCAATACCAGTTGAAACAACAGTTGTTTTTTTTGTTTGTGTGTGTCCTGAATGTTATCTAATGAGCCTCACACATAACTTATGATGCTGAATTGTCAGATTTTTGTGGAAATTGGGAAAATGCTGCATGGCAAATGTAGAATGTATATCCTGTGGGCGAGTGTTGGTACTTGTATCAATATACTTTGTTTTCTACTGAATTGTCACTGTGGAGTGAGAAAAGCTATGAAAAATGAGGAAATTATTGCTGTAACTTTTCCTCCTGCCTACATCTTGTGTCTTTGTTTTCATCATATTTTAACATTTGGTTCTATATGTCCAGTTCGGGGGGGCTCATAATCGCGTTTTTGCTTTTTGCAGATGATGTGGTCTTGTTGGCGTCATCGGCTGGCGACCTGCAACATGCACTGGGACAGTGTGCAGCTGAGTGTGGGGCGGCCGGGATGTGGATCAGCACCTCCAGGTGTGAGGCCACCCAGAAAAGGGTGGATTGCCTTCGTCTGGTGGGGGATGAGGTACCTGGTAACTGAAAGACCCCAAACAACATTTAGCTGTTTGTCAATGTGCCTGATCACAAATAGTTGGGGGTAGATCCACCAGTAAATTGAGAGATTTGCTTTCTGGCTCAGCTCCCTCTTCATCAAAACAAAATAGCATAGCGTCTGCCGCTGCCAACACTGCATCCATCCGTCTGTTGATCTCTCGCTCCCTTTTTCCCTCACTTGTGAACAAGATCCCGAGATACTTAGACTCCTCTGCTTGAGGCAGTACCTCATCCCCCACCAGACGAAGGCAATCCACCCTTTTCTGGGTGGCCTCACAATTGGAGGTGCTGATCCACATCCCAGCCGCCCCACACTCAGCTGCACACTGTCCCAGTGCATGCAGCAGGTCGCAGCCCGATGATGCCCACAGGACCACGTCATCTGCAGAAAGCAAAGATGCGATTCTGAGCTCCCCTGAACTGGACATCACAGCAATCGTTTCCTCATTTTTGTCGTATCTTTTCTCACTCCACAGTGACAAGTCAATACAAAACAAAGCATATTGATGCAAGTACCAACACTGACCACTAAGCGGTGCCATTTCTGAAGGTATTTAAGAACAAAAGCATCACAATTGTAAAACTATAGCAACTGCATTTAAGAAAGTAGGGTACTCTTTACTGTTTGGTATGTACTGTATGTTGCCAGTGACACTGGGTAGTTTAGGTGTCTGCCCACTACTTAGGCGTATAACAAGTGTGGCTCAGGCATGTGTAAGCAGTTATCCTCTTTGTTAGTTGGAATGTCTTGTGAGGGTGAACTCTTTCTTTTCCTTGTTTTATATTTGCTTTATGTTTTTCTGTTTTGCTACATCCGACTAAAGACCCAGTAGGAGCTTGAGATCAAAAGGGTTTGGTGGCTGCTGCGCAAAAACAAGTTTCAGTGCATGTTTATATAAACGTTCAAACAGTTTTTTATATGCGGTGTGACTTTGCAGTCTCATGATAGCGGCTGACACAGGCTGAAGTTTGACTACCTGTATTTTCTTATTTGTTTGAACATATTTCTAGTGCCAGTGCTACTTGTGTTACCAGTGTGACCTGGTTCTCAGCAATATTTACCTGGAGTAGTGGGTTTGATTTGGGAGCTTAGGGGATTGCATTGTGTCATCTTAATGTGTGCTTCTGCAATAAAGGATTTACGAAATGAATAATCCTGCATCCCCATTGACTATAGGAACTACCAGCAGTTCTGATCATGAGTGGTCTGGGTAACACACTAACAGCCTGAATATTCCTCTCTGCAACTCACTGTTACATAAATACAAACCTCTTGTCCAGCAGGAAACATGACAATCTTGGACCTGTGAGTATCTCCACACCCATCTTTGGTCGTTCATCTCTGCTTGCCTCACTCGTACACCGCTTTGGACAATAGCCACGTCAGCTAATGCAGTGGTTCTCAGACTTGTTCCACAATACCCCCCTTTGGAAGCAGAACTTCAATGCCACCCTCTCCCTCATAAACTGTTTTTTCGACCATTAATATTAGGAAAATTCGTAACAGAATGAGTCAAGTTTTATTTTATTTTATTGTAATAACATCAAGAAGATGTGCAACATATTACATTTCACATTTCTTTCATTAATTCCTGTTGTGCATTTTTTTTAGTATATTGCTCCAAAGCATCTGCATTTTTTAGAATTGCAGTAATTTTGCCAGAAATTAAGTGCAAAAAACAGATCAATTTTAACCACATAACTCTGACACTGTAAGAAAGTCGTATCTCTGCATTAGTGGCTACAGGAACCTGTTTTTCATTTCACATTTTTCAAAACATGGTTTCAGGCTTGATAATGCCACTCTCAAACCATGCTGAGCGGTGAGGTTAGATCTGTATTTTGTCTTCACTGACACAATAGCAGAGAATTCATCTCACGGGGATATGGATTTGGTGGAAGGTAGTCGAACGTCCAGAGCCCTTTGTCCGATGAGTAGGTTCCCCATCTCCACAACAAGCCTGAATTCACCCAGAGTTTGTGCTGCAAACCGCAGCGTCAGGGTGGAGTTACAGGAAATCTCAATGCACTGGTCTTGTTTTGATGTAATTGTCCAGGCTGATAGCATCACATACAACAGTTTATTACGGTCTTTTCACGCAAGTTTGTGTCGGAGCATTTTCCAAAGGGAATAAAATAAACATACATTTTGGAAAATCTGAAAAGTAGTTACTGACCATTTCAAAGACGGTGATTCAGTTGAACTCTTGAAGAACAGTCTATGGGAAGCATAAATAAGAAGGATATTTACTGAGGCTTGTAGTTGCAACACAATGCTATCCAGGTCAGTGGAGATCATACAGAAGTCTACATTATTTTCCAAGTCATTTCAATGAATCCCAACTACTTCATAAGAGTTGTAGTTAATTTGAGTACTATTCTGCATTTTAAAGGAGTTTTTCCATACTTTATCAAACATGGTGAGGCAGAGAAGACATCCTGTCTACACAGTTGAAGGAGGGAAGCTGTTCCAGTAGCTTGGCCTCATACAATGCTGTAAGGTCAGGTTCTGACCTTGGCATTAATGTACTGGTTCAGTAGCATCTTCAGCTCTGTGTTCTGCTGCTGCAGACCCTGCGTTTCCCCAAGAAGCTTAGACCTCTCTTTCAGAACAGAACTGTGAGCAAAGTGAGAAAAAGAAAATACTTTTATCTAGGTCAAATGTAATTCTTTACTGATTGAATAAAATTCATAACCATGTGTAGAGGCCCAATCCAACCAGGGTTACTTACTAGTATTTCTCCAGTGCAGCCTCCAGTGCGTTCCAGATCTTCAGCCTGGATGCAGGGATGACATTGGCCATGGCCTCCCAGTAGGCTGAAACTTCTGAGTTGTCCTTCTCTCGAAAACTCAGGCTTTTGGTCTGCTGACGGATCTCTCTGAAAACAGTGAATTTCAGCATCTCACTGTGGTGCAATTAATTTTTAGATGAAGGTTATTTTAGCACAAAACTATGCTGTTTACTGAGGGTAGACTCACTTTAGTAATGCAGGAGCACAATGCAATATTTATAAATGATTCCACTCATCTATCCAACCATCCATTGACCTTTCAAGTACATATCCAGTACATATGGGGGGGGGCAGCATAAGGATGGGGTAAACCCTGGATGCCAGTGCCCCTGTCCAGCACTAACCTTAACCATAAGTAACCAAACAAAATAAAAGTCTTTTGGGATTTTTTGGTTGGGTGCTGATTTTTATGAAATTGAACTTCCCCTGGTAGGCACCAACAAAATGGTCCCCACATCGTCAAAATAACCGTGTTTTATCACATTGCAGGGATATTTGGTCCCCACAATGTATTTGGTCCCCTGTCCAGCACTAACCTTAACCATAAGTAACCAAACAAAATAAAAGTCTTTTGGGATTTTTTGGTTGGGTGCTGATTTTTATGAAATTGAACTTCCCCTGGTGGGCACCAACAAAATGGTCCCCACATCGTCAAAATAACCATGTTGTATCACATTGCAGGCATATTTGGTCCCCACAATGTAAGGTATACTTGGACCACACACACACACATACAGACACACATACACTATGGGCAACTGATCCTCAACCCAGGAGGTGTGACTTAGGTGTCATACATTGACCTGTGGTAATGACTGGGTTTGCATTAGCTGCTAACAATCACCGGGATTTGCAGTGCTCTGAGGTGAACGCCCGCAGGGCCTTCAGGACATCGTTGCGATGAATAAGTTCCGACATGTTGATCTCTGTGAATTCCAAGCGGGCTCCTTCCAACTCACCGTGAGCCCCCTCTGCAGTTACCTGAGTGATTCCCATGACAAGGCAAAAATGCATTTTGAGGAATCCGACGGCTAACTTGTAACAATATTAATTTCATTCCAAATATATTTATCGTGAAAAGTAGCCCACTTTAGGGAATCTATCACTGGAGTAAAGGTGCCTCTGTTATAGAGAAAATCACAAAGAATTTTTTACCTCCTTCACATCCTTTTCTTTACATTTTATGAAGAAATCTGCCAGTTTATACATGTCCTCTTCATTCTCTATTCCCAATACCTTAAAACATCCAGTGAACATTCATTATACTTGAAATTTCTGTCAAAATATTTCTTAAAAACATTAAATAATTAGTACAGAGTTGTGTGCAGACTTGTTCATACCAAAAATATTGATTCCAGCTTCATGAGGGTTTGCTCATCTTTATCCAAGGGGGAGAGGAGTTTTAGAAATTTACTCTCTATCAAAAAACCCTGAGAGAAAGTAAAAACTAAATTTGACTATTGACATGTTTATGATACCACACAGAAAAAGTAAGTAAGACACATGGACCAGAATATTTACGGCCACATTGTAATGGATATATAATGGATATATAATGGATATCTATCCCATGCTGCTTCTGACTGCAGGTGGACAGTCTAGTGTTACATGTATATGTACAATGTCTTGTGCCCATAATTGTAAATTGACTTGCATTGTCTTTCATGTTATACAGTGTAGTCAAAAATGATCTGTACACTGTGAAGAAATAGTCAAAATGGAAATGAAATTGAGGATATTTATTGTGAAATTTTATGACTCTTTACCTCATGCATTGGGTATTTCAGCAGTTTTAGCCATGCTGGAAAACTCAACATAAGCCTACAAATGTTTGTGTGGGGAATGACCACCAAGGCTCCTCGTAGAGCCTAAGGGCCCCCAGTTACCTGCCTGTTTGGAGCCCCTGCTGTTATGTGTCATGTTAAATGGCCTCTGTTATGACTGGGAACTGCTCCCATTGGCACATATTCATTCAGCTCTATGAATGACCAGGTGTACAGATATCGATGGCAATTAATTACATGATTTGAAAATGATTCCAGAATGTTTTGAATAAAAGTTTTTCTTGTTTCTATACAAACACACATAAATGTAACATTTTAGACAGTTTTAAGTCTGTTCTTCAATATCCTCAATTTCATTTCCATTTTGACCATTTTTTCAGTGTACAAATAATTTTTGGCTACATTGTACGTTATACTGGGGCCCACCCACCAAGACAGTCTCCTGTATGTTTCACCTTACTGAGGTAGATTTCCTGAGAGCTGGATTCCTACCGTCTCATCGCAAAGAAGCTCAAGAAGCCGTTTCAAAGTGCCTGCGGAGATTCCTGGAGGCCCCCTTATCTCGACACGCTCCAGGCCTACAAGCTCATGGCTGGAGGACATCGCTCCATCCTGACCTCCCCCTTTCAGAAGATCAGCTACTGCCTGCATTGCTGATTTGCCATTCTGATGCTGGGCCACTGGGTCGGACCGTTTCATGAAGGACAGATCGGGCTGCACCCAGGCCAGCCCCAGCTGCTGCTCATGCAGCAGTCGATCAGTCTCCAGCGCCTTCTCAACCAGCTCCTTCACCTCCGCCTCATTCATTTGCCAGATCTCCTCAAACTTCTTAGAATCTGTAGCTACAAAGTGCCTGCGGAAAGATAAGAAACTCTGACAAAGCCTTGGAATTCTCAGAAAGGCAAAGCAGAAAATACCAGCTGACATTAAACACTGCTTTGTACTGTTGACAGGTAAAATGGACGCATGATGTGATCCAATGTCCCCATAAAGGGCACATATCAGAGTTCTTAGGCTGTGCCGGTATGTTTAATGCAGGTGTATGTGTTGCTAGACACTCACCTCATTTTTTTCTGCATGTGCTTATACTGCTGCATAATGCGTCTATAGTCATCAGTGAGAGACTGGTTCTCTACACAAGACTGCTTCTCCTGCTTGGCACACCTGGCCTTGAGGTTGTTCATGACATCCTGAAGTCTTGCGTGGGTTGAAACAATAAGATTTTTAGTCAGTAAAAAAAACCTTCATTCACAATGGTGGACGTCGTACTGTACATGCCTAAAGGAAAAAATAATTGTCTGCAGTCAACAGGATGCTACCAAAACCATCATTTTTGGTACCTTACTATTATCAAAGAGACAATAACTAATGGTTGAATGAGCAGATTGATTGGCTAAACAAAGGCTAAACTCTATTACTCTCATCCACAATGACCTAAGCTACTTGTTGTACATAATTTACAAAAGTATATGTCATCAGAGTTCATAATTGATAATATGTTCTGTGATGTACAAACAACTGAATGGTATGTCATGTCTTACCAAGATAAATTTCCTTGCATATGTATCTGAATTAGACAGCAGTCTTGAAAACTGCATTTAGACCTGATTATGTACAGAGAGCCAAGCAAAAAAGCCCCAGTTGGATTAATCTTTATATCTAAGTCTATAAATCAGACACCATAATCTAGGATTGGTGTGTAAGAAATGACATGGAAATAAAATGAGACATTAAAAATTATTCTTCAAATCTCTCCTACATGTGTAAGAAACTAAAATAATATTTTCATGATAATTCATCTGAATGATTAAATGGTTTAATAATGTAGTTATTAATTTGGCTAACATGTAAACATTAATTTAATTAACAAGCAATTTAGGCAAAAACTCACATATACTGAAAAAGTCTGTCCTCAAATAAGATATTTGACATTTTTTATTAATTCAATCAACACACAAAAATAGCTCAATTAAGAGCTAAAGCAAAGACCAGCATACTGTACATGCTGTACAGTTAGAAAAAAGTTTTTTAAAAAATATTTTGTCAGAGGAATTTTCATGCAGTGTGCCTCTAGTTGGCGTTCAATATACTGGCTATCTTTCTTTAACTTACAGTTAATATTTAAAAAATACACTTGATTCCTGGGGGAAAAACAGGTTTTTGGTTAAGTAAGCACCTGGTGATTTTCCGCTTTTGTTTCGATTTGGTGACGGCGTTCTCCTCGTCCCGCTTTTTCAGCACGTGCAGGTTGTACTCCAGTTTCTCCTGGTTCAGCTGGCATGTCGCTTGCATCTGTTGTATCTGCTGCTCCAGCATCTTTGGAAAGGTGACATACTCATGGTTTGGTGTACTGCACAGACAGTGGATTTCACATATCGTAATAAAGTAGTTTGCTGGAGGGAAAAATTTTAAAGATTACTTAATAATTCTGCCATGTTAGTCATAGGGGGAAACAATGCCAAATACCACATTATAAACAACAAATTTTGTCAATTAACATGAAGTATGAAATAAAAGATAAAACTAGGTGCAGATAGACAGAAACAGAGTAATTCTGGAATGCTGGAAGATTCTGCAAGCATTGTATGAATAGACAGTGTCTGTACTCCGAAGTTGTACACCTCTAAGAACATGATTACTATTCTGTTTATCTATTTATTTTTATAGAACACCTGACATGTTTTCACTGTCTATGTTTTTGACTGTTTTTTGTGAAAGGATAACTGTCTATAAATAATATACAAATCTGTGTTCGTAGTGCGAATAGGCTGCAGGTATAAACCCCTCTAGCGAACACACACATATTAATGGCTGTTTAGCATCTTTAAACACAGAAAGATCTAATCAGAACTGTGCCTAGTAACCAACAATCCATCTCAAGCTTCCATACTTCACCTGCACTTTGCCATCCAGGTCGATCTGTGTCATGTTACACTTCTCTGCATTTTCCATTCTTAACTGTTGTATCTGTTTCTCATATTGCTCTGCCTTCTTCCTTCTCTGCATCAGGTATTCCAGCTAGGAGGTAGACAGTTCATGAAAAGTGCCTCACTTTAAAATGCAGTCCATGAATTCTCACTCCAGCACCTGTACTCTAATCCTAAAGGTGAACTGGAAAATTTTTGACTATAGACATAAGTATTCCATTAAATTCTGTTAATTTGGTCTTCATTTTAAAGAGTGCAGTTTATTCTCAGAACATGCGGTAAGTAACTCTTACCTCTTTATCGCGGTGATCCTTCATCGCCTCTTCCCATTTCTGACGGTTGCTCTTCAGGAGCTCCTTCCGTTCTTGCTCAAAGGCATTCTACATGTTAATTTATGTATGAAGATTATTAGTGTAGCAAATGGCTGCATTCAAAGCTATGTTACTGCGTTGCGTGTGACACGGTGGCCGTCCAGAAATGTGCATCAATGGGGGACAATCGGCACCATGAACTTCACTGCTAATCATGGTTCCTTACAGTCAGCCACAAGGAGACCCAAGAGGGTATGACTGGCAGCTTTAATTTTAACAACTGGGGGGGTGGGACAGCCTTCGTTTGCAAGGCCTAAAGGAGGAAGAAGGTCGAGGGCGAAGGAAAGGGCAAGCTAACTATGCAAATGCGCTCTCTGCATGTGAGACTGGGAGACTACCTCTCTGAAGGTAGGCCTGGGCAATTAATCGAATTCAGGCTGTGATGTTTGCTAGGTTAGGTGTACTATATTAAAATGCACTTTCATCTTACAATATTTTCACCTTGCTATAAGTTTATCTAAACATAACCATATTGTAACCTAGGGAGAGGCTGTAATGTGCCACATTTCATTTCATTATGATGCCATTGTTTTGTCTTGGGTAATAAATGCAGTGCACCTCTTTCTGACCCCCTTTTTAATTTATTTCTCAGCTGAATTATATTTAAGGTTCTAAGAAATCCAGTTAAAAAGACAAGTTATTTTAAAAGTTCAATAAATGCATGATATTTACAAAATCAATGAGTAATCGTGAAAAATAATCATGATCTCAATATTGACCAAAATAATCATGATTATGACTCTAATCGAATAATCGAGCAGCCCTATCTGAAGTAACAGCTGCCTCCAGGCTGACCCCCTTTTGAATAATTTTTTCCTGCTTTCCTGTAATAAACCTTGCCCCTTCAATTGCTGTTTTCCTGCTGTCTAGTGAGCCTCTTTACCCACTATGCATGTTTTTAAGTGCCCATTTCAGGACCCAGTACTGACAGATATAATTCAGATGAAGCCTGAAGTTTCATAGCTTTGTGGGTACAAGCCCAGTTTTTTTTAACCATGGCCAGTTTATTAACCAAGATACGTGGTTTAAAAAACATGTGTACAAAGTATGCTTCAAGTAATACCTCAATTTGATCCAGCTCCTCATGATAGGACCCCATCAGATTCCTGATCTGCTCTTCCATTCTCTCAGTCAAAAGATCGACGTCTTTTGCTTGTTTCTTTAAGTCCTTCACATACCGTTCATCACTTGCCTTTAACTCCTAATGTAACAGAAAAATTTATTGCTTTCGTTCAATTCTCCTGTTTAAATTTCAAGAGGTTACCAATACGTTGAAAGAAATGGAGGGAGAGAGGTAGAATACCGCTTCTTTCAAAAAGATATATGACCCAAAGGTTATGGGTCAAAAGTTCACTGGTGGGGCGTGGTTGGGGTGGAGCCAGGTGACGTCACGACTAGTGACGTTTTAATTATTTCCATATGTTGGGAGAGGGGGTGGTTTTTTAATTATTTATTTATTTTAATTATTTTTTAATTATTTATTTTATTTTTACTAGTTTGGAGAGTGAAATGAAGTTTCAGTGAATTGTGTGCTTATGAGTGTGATTTGTCGGAATAGCCCCGTGCTATGAGGGTGATGGCTGACGGTGCTGAGCGCGGTGCTGAGCGCGCAGCTGAGCGGGTTGTTTACCTGATGGAGTGTGAGCGTACGCTGGGTCTGCTTGTGGTGCGGTACTGTGGGAAGGTCCCGGTCGGTCCGGAGCGTGTAAATGTTGTACTTGGACATTCTGCAAAGGACTCGGAGGTTCTGAGAGCGATGTTGGAGCTTATCCCGGTGTATCCTCCGAGTCATTTGCAGAAGGTCATAAATTTTTTTGAAAGGAGCGGTATTCTATCTCTCTCTATGGAGTGATCTGACAATTTGGAATGATCTGAATGATCAGTGAAGGATAATTCGGCAGCAGATAATGTTCTCTGTTGACTGGCAACATTGTGAACAGACGCACAGACGTGGACAGCAGAACTCCAGCACTCTCACCTGCTGCAGCTCATATATGAGCTTGTTCTTGTCTTCCAGGAGAAGTGTACAGAGTTCCTGCTGGCTCTTCAATGATTCCCACAGCTCCTGAGGAACCACCTTCTGTCTGACCATGCCCCACTTCTCAGTGATCTCTTCAAACTTCTCCAGACAAATTTTAGCCTCGTTCTCTAGCTTCTGGATTCTTCACAATATATGTGGAGATATCAACACAGGTATGCAAATCAGATAATTGCAAACTTGCATTAATTATAATTTTTCTTTGATTTACCCCTAACCACTTAATGCTGTGAGTCCAAAGCCATTCCCAGGAAGAAAACACAGGCAACCATGCAGACACACCCATAAGGGGGGGGGGGGGGGGGGGGGTACTGTACCTTTGCTGAGAAGCTTCTTCTAGCTCTGCTCTTCTCTGGGACTCTTTGAAGTCCCCAGCAACTTGAATGTTTGTGATGAGCTCTGTTCCATCATTCTGCAGTTTAAACAATTTCTAGAACACAAAAACATATATGGTTTATACAGAATATACTGCTTATCATGTAACACATACATGCATTTAAAATTGTTTAAATGTTCTTCTTGCTTGACATTGAATATGAATACATATCATCACCCTTTCACTCTGTTCCACTTGCTTCTGACTTCTCCTGATGTCTTTATTCTCCGTAATTTCCTGCTGCTGCTTGGAATAATCTCCAAACATTTGGCTGAAAAACAGGTATTAGCTAAAAGATGGTAGTCCCAAAATATTTCTCTCATTTGGCTGAGAAATGAACCAATACCAAAACACATTCATGTTAAGTTGATAAAAAACAGTCTGCAGTCACTTTAGTGAGCTTTCAGTATTTATGACACCAAGATATATTATAGACAATAAAATGTCTGGAAAAAAACATAATAAAGGATTTGACTGACAAACTACATTAGCTTTTGATGTAGCTAATTTAAAGTTTATAATGGAATAATATAAAATTGCCGTAAGATTTCTTGTGTGAGCCTAAGAGTCTGAAAGCGTGAGTGTCACGCTATGGTGAACCGCACCCGCATCATAATTCATAATAATAATTAATAAGTTAATAATTAGTAAAGGAAATAGCAATGTTATAATTTTATGCTTCTCTATTCCGGATTAGGGAATGCTTCGGCGATGTCTCGTCGTCACATTCAACAGCATAATTAACAAACAACTTATGCATGGCTCTGTACCGCTTATTCGCGTGATTGGGAACCTCGAATTCTTTCGAAACTCCTGCTTCCTCCCGTACAGCATCTTGTATTTCGACGGACCGCCTCATTTTCCAGGGTATGAAAATCCTTCAGATTGTAAATTTAACGTTAAAAATGTACGTTTCACAGTACAACTTGGTTAGCTAGTCAAAGCCGCTTAGCATGCAAGTTTGCGTTGCTAGGAAACGGAGCGGAGCGTCACGCACCACCGGTTTTGGGACGCGGCTACTTTACGACAACAGGGGGCAGTAGTGCGCTGCTCTGCGCGCCGGTTGCGCTTCATTCTGTTAGAATATGAATCAGGTGTTTTTACAGTGAAATGGTCTCATATAAACAATAGATACATACAGGTGGGAGAAGACGATCACATATACTCATTACATCTCACTTTCGAGGGCTAGCTCGGTATCTCAGCTTACCAGCATCTTTTATAATATAATTTTTAAAATATTTATTCACATTTTCTTTTATCATTTTCTAAAACAAAAATAGGTTATGTGCATGCACAAGCGTGAGCAGCAATGGAACATTACATTTATGTTACTAGCCAACTGGGCTAGTTCAGTTAAAAAAAAACTGTGCAAGATACAATCTTCTCGCTAAACACTAGGTGGTGTTTAGTATTTCGTACTTGCCTCGGGTGAGTGGGCGAGCTTAATTTCCAGATTTGCACGTGAGTATCAGGTTTCATTAAAATGCTTATCATATTCAGTAAATGTCGCACACGGGGGGGGGGGACTGTCAATATATGGGATCATTACAGGTTATATTAATCTAACACCAGTGTTGTTCCTTGTACTGACAACCTAATTTCAGATGATAAGGAACACCACGCACAATGACTATGAATTAAATTGATGAGTTGACTTACTGTACATGAAAGAGCAGAGCAAAGATTTGGATCATCATACTCTGTAGTTTAATTCAAACATAGCAAAAGCACAATAAATATAATCTTGGCAATACCACAGATTATAGAACAATTTTGGCTTCACAAATACTTCACAAGTGCATTTTACTTTGAAAACAAGACACAGCAACACACGGCTTTGAGAATACAAAATGGGAAAAGCTTCATGCGTATGACATCATTCGTCAAGGCTGAATGATAGCAGTTGTTGTCTACATTAACCTGCGGATAATGTAGTAGGAATGTCTTGCACAGTAAAGTTTCATGAAAATCGAATACACAGCACTTTGATACTCGATATTAAAGTATAACGAATATGAAAAGCATTATTTGATGAGGCTCTGATGTGCAATGACCTTGTACTGTCACTGGGGAAAAAATATTGTTGCTTGTTTTTGCAACAAACCTTTGACAGAATATTCTAGTTGCTTGCAGAACAATCTTTTTTGAACAAGGACTACCATATGCCTTTTTATGTAGCCGATAATATCTCAGGGTTAAATAGTGCATAAAATAGTTCTGTATACTAGCAAAATGCAAGAGCAAAGCCATTCTCTGCTCCTGCTGGAAAAGTCAAGAGCCTTTTCTATAACAGTATTTTTGGAAGACTAAGGAACAGCTGGCTGGTTCTACAGGAACTGCAATGAATTTAACCAGAACCAGAACCAGAACACTGCCAAATCAGAAACAGGACTAATTTTTATAAGATCCAGACATTTTACATGAATAATTGTGTGTGTGTGTGTGTGTGTGTGTGTGTGATCCATGTACACACACGGACAACAATAACAATGGTCTTACTGCAAAACAAACAGCATATGTGGGTATAATAGTATACACCTATCAACTATTTAAACAGAAAAAGAAAAAAGCAATCCTGCTTAAATCAACAACTGGAAGAGAAAAACCCCAAATATTACACAATAATTCACAGGATATGACATTCTGTTACCTGTACAACTAATCAGAGAGTTAGGATACTATGTAAAATATTTATAGGCAATGAGTTTCACAAGCACAATACAAAACCAGCTTTAAAAAAATACAAAATGTTGTAGCATGTTATTTTTCCAGAGACTCATATTCACGTCTGTAATTAAAGAATGTGCTTTAATTATAAACAAAGTAATAATTTGGACGTAAAAATCGCACTGCCAGCTCTGCAAAAAATGATGAAAATTCAGAAACTGAGAAAATGATTTAATTCACCAATTAAACATTTACATGTAAAAAATAAATATAAAATGACCACCAAATTAACTAAAACATATTCAGTTAAGCCTGTTTTATCATTTCAAAATTCATCTGATATTGCCAACATGAAATGAAAAACAAGCGGCACTTTCCAGTAAACAATTTTTCCTCTTTGTGATGAAGTGGGGCTTGGATTGTCTGTACATTGCTTAGTTTCATCATTTATTATGTAGTGGTCTACATTTGGTTCTGACGCGTCTGCATTAAGCTGCAAGCTAAAAGCAACTGCACAAGGAGGCTGACTGTTCAGACAGGTGCAGTGGTCTGCAGTCTTGCATGCCGCTGACACACAGATATTCAAAACCATGTAAACCAAAGGCAGAGTAGATCAATGCTACAGGAAAGTCCAAATCTCCAAGTCCTGGATGTCAAAGTCCTGCTGGGCAGACAGTGGTTGATTCCTGAAAGTGGAGCAGGGTCTGCTTGAGCCGTGGTGCAGGTCAGCATCCAGCCACAGGCCAAAGTGTCCCCTGGACACCCACAGGTGGATGTTAGTCAATGACAGTGACACCTATGGCACACGAATCACACACACATACAAAGAGAACTTACTTGCCCCCGCCTATTTGGAGAGAGTCCGTGTTCCCTTTCACAAAGTAGGAGTTTTCTCCACTCCACCGGAAAACCTGGAAGGAGAGAGGCACTGTGCATGAAGCACGTCAAGCTGCAATGCAAAACACAGGATTGTGAATATAGGCTAATGTAAGTGCTTTGAAGTGTATATTTATATGTATACCCTAATATCAGGACAGAAGCTGTACAGGAATGATTCTCCAGTCCCATAGCAGTGCTCGCTAACTCTAAAAGGATGTGAAGAGAAGGCCCCAAACACCTGGAAGACAAACACACCTGTGACATACCATCTCAAACACATAAGACACTGGTGTTCATACTTGGTACAGGTGTGTACCTGGTTGTGCATGTCTTTGATCACCAGTAGTATGGGACTGTCTAGGTCAGTCAGGTTTCTGTATAGTGTCTTCAGACTTGTTCCATGTACGGCCGTGCTGTAGGCAAGTCGCCATGGATACCCCTGGATCCGAGCTGGGAGGTAATTGGTCAGCTATGGAAATAGAGTAAAATGTTGACCAATACTGAGGCAGCAGGTAGCCGAGTGCTGACACCATGCATTTGTAACCCAAACATTTTTGGTTCAGGTCCTCAGTGGCACCATGTATCTTAGAACAAAGTCCCTGACCGGAATTATTCCAGGTGCATAAATGGATACATTGTAAACTGGTATGATCTGGATAAAAACACCAGTTAAAAGTACTGGAGGCTCTGACAACAATTATCAGTCAGGATGAAGTTATATGACATAGGAAAACTCACCTCTTGCCATGACTTACCCTAACCAGATTGGTCATACATACTGTATTATACTCAAAAAACACAATATTCAACTGTAGTCCGTGCTGTCGTAAGCACTTCATAAGTAATATTGCTACAAAAGTAATATCGCTACCTAGAAACCAGAGTTAGCATATACATGAACAGACCTTGTGTATGTGTATGTCCTCAAAGAGAAGGCTATTGTCAGTTAATGTAGGCAACAAATACAGCAGTTCGTCTTCGTCAAAGCTGCCCACACTCTGGCGACGTCTGGCCTCATTCACAGTGATTATCTGTAAGAAAAACAAAAATTTATTTGTCACATCAACACTTAACTGGGGTTTGTGGAACCAATAGATATAAAGGCAAAGAATGACTCAAGAGCAGATAAAAGGTATTGCAAAGATGCACAGCATTTTAAAATATGAATCATACCTCCCAGCTCTTGGGGGCTGGACTGCTGAAGAAGTTGTCGATCATATCAAGCTCATCCTTTTCCACCACAATGAACCCTTGCTCTCTAGCATCTTTCCCATATACATCTGGTGACCAGTGTACAAAAAACGCATAGAGGTTGTCCACCCTAAAAGAGAAAGACTGAATGGTCAATAGAAGAAAGTTCAAACATAGGACAGGACTGAGGTGGAAAATTCAGCTCCAGAAAGTAAAAATCCAGACCAGGATTTTGTTTCAAGCTAGCAGTTGACCATAAAGAGTCACAGTCACAGAGTACTCAACTGGTTGGTTGAAACAAAAATCTTGGTCTGGACTTTTACTTTCTGGAGCTGAACTTTCCACCTCTGGAAGAAGAAAGCATAGCAGAGTCTGATGCATAAGGAAGAAGAAGAAAAAAAAAAAGAGAATGAAAACTAAAGAACAGAGGTGTGGAGTGGTGAGGGACTGCAGGCCTGCCGATTTAAGCCCAAGTAAATTCACGTTTGCAAAGTGTGCAGTTCAAAGTGAGTTAAGCTGGTCATGTCTTAAATTTTTATGCACACTCTCTAAATAAGATAAATGAAAGATAAACAAAAGAAACATCAAGCACTTGAGACAAGAATATTTACATCAGCTAGTCAAATATGAAGTAAAATCTACAAAGTCTCTCACCTCTCCTGGGGAACGGCAAACCAGTACTCTGGATGATGGCCCTGCACTCTATAATGATGGGCGGGGCTTGACGTCTGACCGACAGCAAAGGACTTTCTCATGGGTTTGCCCACTCTGAAGCAAAGGAACATGGGCGGGTTCTTGCTTTTTTCTTCTTTTGACAGTAACATATCTGCAGAAATGAATATGGTTTTAACTGCAGCATGCAGTCTGACCATACCTCCAGAAATCAGATCATCCGACAGACAATGAAGAATAAAACAGCAACGTATCAGATCACAATACCCACATTTCACCCTTCAGCTTGCATTTACAAATCTGTTTAATGCAGATTGTAAGAAAAACACCAGAGAAAAGTTTATTTTCAAACAGAATGGCTTTGAGATTATATCAATTCATATTCAACATAATTCATAAATAATGCTAGCATATAAATTCAAGATCCATCACATGAGCCATACTACGAAACCTATGCTTCTTTAAAATTGTACGAGCAGAAAAAAAACCCTACTTTCAATGCTGAGCCTGAAATATCAATCTTCCAATTACTATTTCTGACCAGGTTTGCAAGG